TAGTGAGTTACCCTAAACATCACAGCTTAGCCTCCCACACCTAATGCCGGGACTAATAACAAACTCGCCAACACAAAGTTGAAACAGCCCGCTCGCCAACCCTGAAGGTGACATCCCGGGTGAAATATTCAATCTAACTCAAATTCGAACCCCATGTTAGCAAAATCAATTCCCCCATCTTGCCTTAATACTTATCAGTCAAAAACTACAGTGTAATCTTCAAGAAAAACACCTTTACTGCTCCTAGACTAAATTTACGCACTTGAAATTATTCGACGCAGATAAACTTGAAAAAATCAATCTCGCACCAAACACACTCATTAGCCCGAGCGTGTTGTTTACAAGGGAATTTTACAAGCGCGAGAGTCATTTGTCTTCCGCAAATGTTAAGTGGCAGGTCAGGATGGCTCGTTAGGTTGTATGAAATGTGACGGTATACATATTACTATACACGCGAGCCTCAGAACACAGCATGTACATTGACTATACATGTGTGTGTGTGTGTGTGTGGAGACTTACTACGCTTCCACATGATAGCCCCGGCGGCAGGAGTTACATCTATCAGGATAAGTTATGATACAGTAGGCTAAGCTGTGATGTAAACGGGACCATTTCAGCAAATTTAACGACCATCCCGGAACATTCAGTCCACATTGGCTCATTTCCTTAAAAAAAAAAAATCAGGGAGTCGTTGTTTCTGGTATTCTAAACGTTCATTTCGTTCTAAAAGAATAAACAATAACTTATCGACATTTATTCCGGCATTCCAAATTACCTTATTGGGCTTCAGTATTAACTATTTGTTTCGTAAAAACGGAGGGTGTTTGATGACTGGTAGCTGAACCACATAAATACGTAAAACAACAATTGATATGAATTAATATCACAATCCATAGAGTCAAGAATTTTACTTTGTGAAAGTTTCCTCCTCGTCCACCAAGAGGACTGTAAGGAGACGTGCGTTTAAAAATCTTCTCTCTTATTACCGTCCCTCACCAGAGAAAATACTTGCGTAGCAGAATATTATCCTGTATCATCCAAGACATTTCTTCCTGGTATCTATTACACTAACCTTTTCTTACTCGAACATATTACTATAACTATTGTTAACCTTCTGCCGAGTCCTTATTGTACACGAATACAACCAGTCGGCACTTGAGCGGTACTTTATACTTACGACACACAACACTGAGTAATTTACCTATCATACAAGGCACTTTACCAATGTATATAATTTTAAGTAGTGTATAAAATTGATAGAACATTTTAATTCACAACACAATCAATGACGCTTTCGAGTATGACATGTTACACATGTGAGGTCAACTGCACTTCCTCAGCGTATATATGCACGTAAGACACTTCAAACACATTTTTTCATACGCCATTTGTTCACATGTCTTGGTGATACGTTTCTTGGGCGTCGCATCTCAAAGGTCGGCACTTTAACGGGGCAAGTTTCACGCACGATTAACTACGGTAACTTATCTTTCTTCCGTGCAAAAAGATAATTTCCTCTTGATTTTTTCACGCCGAATTGTCAGTTCAAGTTTATAATATTACATCATTAATTACGAATTATCTTCATATTCTTTAACTGGGAGATTTTATCACTTAGTAATCCGGTATATAATCTCATAAAATGTGATCTTAGGTATTTCTCGATACGTCATAAATATTTCCCGTGCAAGTAACCATCACTCTTTAAATCTTCAAACAATAAAGATCTCAATCACTTATCACAAAAGTATAACTTTTCTGCGACGACGTGTGTTCTGGCAGGGTTATCTAGGGAGATATTTGGAGGGCGACGAAGGTTTGACAGGAGCGGGCTTGGTGGGGGTTTCAGACACTCACATACACACCGGGCGGCCCACACCAAGGTAGAAGAGCAACTGGCGCCAGCACACGTGTGGGTACCCTGATGCCCCACCCTCTGGCTCCACACACATACACACACACACACACACAGCATATGTAAACACTTACAAATATGCCCACACATGTACTTTACACACAAACACAAACAAACACACACACACACACACTGGGCCACCAACAACCACGTCACCATCAACCATACCAAGACCATGGTTATGCACATCAACCTCTCCTCCGACGTTGTCCCACCCCCTTCCATTACTTTAGGTTCCAACACACTCCAGGTTGTAGATTCCACTAAGCTCCTCGGCGTCACCATATACAAAAAACTAAATTGGAAACCACACGTCAGTGAAGTTGTCAAATCCTCCAGTTTCCGTCTCCACCTCCTCCGCTGACTCAAGTCCCTCGGAGTTCCTGCGCCTGAGCTCCTCAGTGTTTACTCAACATTCATACTTCCCAAGCTCACCTATGCCTCCCCTACGTGGTCTTCCTCCCTAAATGCCACACAGTATAAACACCTAGAAAAAGTGCAAAAGAAGGCATGCAAGATTATTCTCTCCCCTTCCTACTCCACATATCAAGAAGCACTCAACACACTGACCCTCTCATCTCTCACTGACCATCACCACGACCTCATCTGCAAATTTGGTGAGAAGTTTCTGCATCATCCTCGACACCGGCTCCTACTACCACCTGAGATCCCTCGCCCGAGAATTGCTGTTCGACACCACAACCACATCCAGCCCATACGAGCATGAACTGATCGCTTTAAGAACAGCCCAGTCCCAACCATTGTAAAAATCATCAATAACTTGTAATCAACCAGTGTATTCACTCCCAGTCAATCTTACTTTTTGCACTGTCACTATGTTGAAATGCCCTGTAGTTTGAGCTTCTCCCCACCTAGTTATTATATATCATATTTCTATCACTTATGTAACTTGTATATTATTTGTAAATCAAGAGACCCATTCCCCAATTATGTAACTGTATCCATTCACACACACACACACACACACACACACACACACACACACACACACACACACACACACACACACACACACACACACACACACACACACACACACACACACACACACACACACACACACACACACACACACACACACACACACACACACACACACACACACACACACACACACACACACACACACACACACACACACACACACACACACACACACACACACACACACACACACACACACACACACACACACACACACACACACACACACACACACACACACACACACACACACACACACACACACACACACACACACACACACACACACACACACACACACACACACACACACACACACACACACACACACACACACACACACACACACACACACACACACACACACACACACACACACACACACACACACACACACACACACACACACACACACACACACACACACACACACACACACACACACACACACACACACACACACACACACACACACACACACACACACACACACACACACACACACACACACACACACACACACACACACACACACACACACACACACACACACACACACACACACACACACACACACACACACACACACACACACACACACACACACACACACACACACACACACACACACACACACACACACACACACACACACACACACACACACACACACACACACACACACACACACACACACACACACACACACACACACACACACACACACACACACACACACACACACACACACACACACACACACACACACACACACACACACACACACACACACACACACACACACACACACACACACACTTAAAAAGAATTATTTCAACACTTGTGAATCCAAGTTTAATCTCACCAAATACCAGAACCAACTTTAAATAACCAAATTTCCCGTATATAACATACAGGAACAGAAATCATTAATTATTTATGCTGAATGAATGTGAGGTACAGTAAGTAAAAAAAATAGGCATATAATGTACTGTACAGTACAGTATACAGTTTACTGTACTGTACATATTTTTCTTTCATATATTTTGAATCATTTATTCTTTCTGCTGTTAAAGTTGTGCTCTACAATGGTACGCACAGTACTGTACTCCCCTTACACGACAACCCCCAAAATCGTCACCAAAAAATTGAGGGCAGACACATGGACAGGCAGGCAGGCGTCAATCCTAAGAAAATGGAGCCTCGTCTAACCAGATTGGTTACCCAACCATTCAAGCCTAAAACCACTAAATGATGATCACTTCTCTTAAAGGTTGCCCCAATCTTCTACTGCAACATCGAATACATAATTAGTAAATCTTAACGTAACCCAACAACAGTACTTCTATAATTTCCTTAAAAATCCCAAACTAACATTTTAGCTGCTACATGACTGACTATACTCTTAATACACACTTACCTTTCTTTAAAACGAAAAACAAAAATATACATACAATTGAAATCTCCCAGACCAAAAAGTGACTCAATATATGTTGATATTGACAAGCAACCAAGGAGGCATTTTGTATTCAAAACTATCTCAATCCCAAGATACTTGCAATACCAGGATATAACTTTCAATGAAAATCTAAGATAATGATATAAGTAAATGTGGATGTGCTTTACAATACATAATGAGTTAGACACAATTACCTTATGACAGCTCTCCAGGCTACACAATCTCTTGCACCTTCTCTTGTCAGGTGTTTATGCCCGAGGTCATTTCTCACAACCTCTCCCCTAGTCAATCATTGCTTGCATTCAAACTTCTGCATCTCTTGATCTAATTGTTCTCCATTCTCTACACATGCCCAAACCAACTCAGTCTATCACCTTCACAAAACCTTGCCAATACCCTCACTACCCAGCTGCCTTCTTAACCCTCAACAGGGTCTCTTATCACATTATGTCACATTACAGATCCATCTTCAACATTAATATTTCAGTGTTATGAAATTTATATATGTGCATGAAACAACTTGCTTCATCAGTATAGGTCTGAAGGTCAGATAAGTCAAAATCAAAGACTTATGTAAGATATAATCAGAACATAATATAGTATGGTAACTAGTTTATTTACCTTGAGCGCAACAGCCACAGTGAGTCCTTTTCCTTCTGCGTCTTGAGCCAACACCCAGTAAGTTGAGTCGAGGTTCTCATACAAGGCCTCCTTTTCTCTAAGAGTCACCTTTGAATCTCTTAATTCCTCCTCAGTCAGATTACGAAGGGCCACTTTCACTCTCATTTCTTCTGTCCATTTGTAGAGGTCCTCTACTTCTGTCACTAATGTTTTGATAACCCCCAATTTGGTGTCCACCATGTTCTTGTAATCAGGTAGAGTTTTTACAACCTACAGTAAACATGGAAAATAAACTTAATATATTTCATCAACATATGGCAATAAATCGTAAAAATATATTTCATTTAGTTCATTGTCACTTGTACTGTAAAATAAGATGTTTTTTCACACACAGACACACACACTTAAATCACTTACAGTACCTCGAACACAAGATATAAAAATATTTTTGAATGGTCCTTAAATTCCATTTCACAACTACTGTACAATATATTATACAAACCTTATTCAAATTAGTTTCTAAAGTATTCATCTGAGCAGTAGAGATAGACTTTGGTTTTGAATCTTTTAGTTTCTTCAGTAAATTCTGTTTTATCATCATCTCCACCACATGATTCTGGAAAGTATTATAAAAAGTTGGCAAACATCAAATATACAGAAACATAGAGCTCACTAATTGTCAACTGTATGCTAATGGACATAGGTATACGTATTTAATTGTACTTATTTCTAACTTAAATCAATAGTAACACTGCCCAAATGTGATACAGTATTAGGAAATTCCCTGTTTTTAGAAATCTAAGTCACTACCACCACCAAGTTTGCATGTACAGTAGAGTACAGTACTGTAATTCCACTTTATGTGTAACTGAGAACAAAAGATTTTTACTTTTTGAGGAATCACTACAATAAAAAAAATTTATACAAATTACATGTAATCCAAATACTGTCCAGTACACAGGTCAAATAGATGAAAATTTCCTTTTTTATATTGGTTTCTTTCAGCAAGCAAGATAAGCTAATTATGTTCCAAATAACTTTAACATTTCTCGTAAGCTAACATCTAATATAGCTTTTGTCATATTTAAGACAGGTAGTGAAAAAGATGTTTACATTACCTGGACCATGGTTGAGTGTGCAGAAAGTGAGGCTTCATCAGTGACATTGACAGGGGCATCCATCAAAGCCTGGGCCTGGTCCACCCAAGTCACTAATGATTCATACTCACTGCTGGTGCTGTCCTTACCCCCATCTTCACCAGCAATTCTGGGTAAAAAAAAAATACATATATCTGTCAGTACAGTATTTCATAAACATGTAATTCCTCCCAAAGAAGCAGTGTGGCTCAAAAGAAGTCTCCTCTAAATACCCAGGTCAACAGATACCTCATAATGCACTAAATTTAACACTTACTCCTTTTCATGAGCACACTTATACCAATATAAAGTTCAGCCTCTTACCTCTCCCTCCTGGCAGCAAGATCTAGAAGTAGTGCTCGCCAGCGTTTCATAAGCGAGTCGACACGCTCCTGCAAACGCTTACCATCCTCAGCATTCATGCCTTCCGTGACTTCCTTAGACATTGACTGGAGTGTTTGACTGGGCCTGAAGTAAAATATATATCATAAATAACTGTCAACGTAACTGCATATTCACAAAATAAAAACAGCAATATTCCAAATATCTTGAGCACTTGGGTACAAAGAATGTGCTTGTTTGGAATATCACATTTACCACCATATCACTGACATTAATTCATTTTCATCCTTCATCTTGTATATCTTTTTAATCCCTTACTTATTACATCTCATTTAAACATATGAAGGAGCTAAAAAACTCACCACCACATCTACCTTCTCATACTCCTCTATACTCTTACTTTCTCATCTTTCTAACTTATGTTCATTTTCCCTCCCTCCTATCTGTCCTACAAGTGATTTAATACACCTATAATCTATTCTGAGATCCATTGTTGAACTTAAGCAATGTACAGTATATCAATCTCTTATCAAGCACCATCGTAATAATAAACTACTACTTTCATACATGTATCAAGACCCCTACTGTGAGGTTAAAAAAGTGATGATGCAGCTTCTTACCTGTGTTTAAGAGTAACCTGTTTCTCAAGTTCTTTCTGTGTAATCTTGGCATCTGGCAGTGGCTGATTAGAGGTAACTTGAACCCTCTCTTCAATGCTGTTCAACCAGATGGCAAAGTCATCAATGGTCTTTTGCAGTGTACGCCAAGTTTCAGAACACTGCAGCCAGCGAGCATGTCTTTCAGTGTATCCACGGTTTACCTGAATCAAATGCATCATTTAGCTACACAATAGGGCACTGTACTTAAGACCATATGCATTAACATAATCATCATTAGAGCCATAAAAACAAATTATTCTAGGAGATTCAAGTAAAAAAAAAAAGTAAAAAAAAATAAGTACAGTACTGTATGTGGCGTTGTTCTCATACACTTTCTTTGACAATAAAAGAGGTAGGGGTTAAGGCAGTAAAAAGGCTTAGATATTCAGTGCAGTACTGACAGAGCCTCAAGAAATAAAATGAGTAAGGGAAAGGGTACTAACAGGTGTAACTTCATGTATTGGAGATAATATTACAAGCAAACAAAAAAATTAAATGGAACTAAATATTACTTGAGACTATAACAGCAAATTTTAAACCACTTAACTTTCTTTTCTCTATAGATTTACAACTGTCTTCATAATCTAAACATACATACCTGAGCCCATTCCTCCCTCAGTTTATCCATAACTCGGCGCACCTGCTCTGACTCAGTTGGGGTGATATTTCTGACTGTGGCATTCCTCTCAGCTTCAAGACCATCAACCCTTGGCTTCAAAGTTTCCAGGCCTTGCTTAATAGCCTGGAGGGAAAAGAGTAAACACATTTTCAAAAATTTAAACAATCATTACTTACTGGAAATATGCAGTATAATAATGTCACCATAGACAATATTACTGATAAATACAATAAAGTACAGTAATAATCATCTATACAACCTTCAATTCGTCCTCCTGGGACTTGAGATTTTCATACTGGTCGCCAGCAAGCTTGTTAGCATTAAGCTGGCGAGAGATTGCAGATATTCCTTCTCTTAAGCGGTTGACGCTGGCCACAAAGTCTGGAACAATGACTGGTTCCTTCTCCTGATGTAAGAAATATAAAAAGGATAATTGCAGTAGAGTGGTGGCCTTCCATACAGTATCTTCCTGTGATATATTCCCTGAACATTGGTCACTTGATTCAACATTTTATATTGTACTCTGCATAGAAAACCTACCTGGAAAATACACTTTGCCAAAAATTAAAGAAACTTCTGCTTGTTGTTATTATATTAGTTGTATTAGAGATTGTGATTAACTACAACATTGTCTACTATTTTCTGATCATCACTCGTCACTCTGTGACTCTATTATCACTACTTTCCACTCATCCATTTGTGAGTTAATCCTTATTCTCAATTTCCAATGAAAGGTTAGAGGAATTTCTACTAGGATTCCACATATTGGTTCAAGCACTCTTAGATATTAGGTTGGTATAACCATTCCAGCAGTTGGTGATGGCCTTACTCATGATGGTTAATCTAACATGCAGTATTCCTTCAACATATTTAGATGCTCTGATGGGTCCTTTGTACGTGTATCAGTATCAGTAGAGATAATGGTAATTACATGTCTGTGGGATTATTTTGCATGCATCACTGCTTTGAGAGCAGTAAATGGCATACATTTTACTAGTTAAATAATCAGTGATGAATGTGTGATATCTGCACTTACAGTATCCACTTTAGTTGTTGAAACAATGGCTTTCTTCTCCAAGGAACCTTTTCGGTATTGCCTGAACTGCATGCTGATCTCAGTCCATCGCATGTTGAGTAAAGTGAGCACAGGCTGAATCTGATTATACTTGTATTTTTTCAAAAGAATGCCACTTTCATTAAGTTTATCCAACTCTGCCTTCTTACTGGTCATTTCATTTTCAAGTGCCTGTGAAGATAGTCAGAAAAAAAGGCTAAGATTTAGCAACTCTAAACTAATCTATAATGCCAGCTTAAGACCTTTAAGGGATGTCCATTACACAGACGACGAGTGTAAAATACACTATGCAAGATACAAAGTATTTGAGGTAAGAACACTGAAAACAAGATCATATATAAAAGGGCCAGGAACAAAATATGTTTAACCACCTAACACCTGGGCCCCTACAGATTTACTATTCAAAATTCTGGATGTTTTTAGCATAGTTTGACATCCAAGCTTCCATCCTTAATGTTAAAACATTATAAATCAAGTAAAAAAATTGGAAAAAATATTAAACTTCTGAGTTGAGTTGACAGAGGGCAACATACTGACAGCACTATCCTCACAAAAACTGACTGGCAAGAATGTCCTAAACATAAAGTATAATGTACTGGTTGCCACATACCGTAGATTAAAATTTCCCAGGCTGATTACCTATGGGCAGTTTAAAGGTCAGTACTGTACTGTACTTACTAATAAGAGGGGCTGAGCCAGTTTGACCACTGCCAGGTGACTCAAAAGTGAGGGCCCAGGAGGTAAGGGGTTAACAATTTAAGCAAATAAGTTGAAGTACTATCATATCATCATCCAATAGTGATGAAAAAAAAATGAGTGGCCATCAGGAGGCAACACCCTTACTACAGTAAAGCACACCACATGCTGCCAACAATAATGTGGATGATGCTTGAGATGACAAGCCTGAAGTATTGCTGTATTGAAATAGTGTGTGTAAATGAATTACAAATGAAAAGAAGTGAACACAGCTAAGCCAAATGGCATCCCAGACTGGGGGATACCCAAGCTAACTTATAGTACTTAAATTTATTACAAGCATTTCTGTTCATAAACTAATATGCAAAATATATGTACAAATTTGGAAGACATTGATAAGGAGATTAGCTTAAGACTTCTCAAATGAAGGGTTGTGTTCCTTTGTGGAGTAGAATACAGTTTTGATCTTAACAAGGAGGTTTCAAGTTCACTTATCTTCACGGCAACAAAAAATGTTTCATTCTCTTACCTCCAACTGACTTTCATCATTATTGACAAGATGGAGTCTCTTTGATGCATCATTTGCCCAACTGATTATCTCATCTGCCTTTCCCGAGATAATACTGATCTCATGGGCAACTTGTTCTGCTTCCAGTTTTACAGCCTGTGATTATAATAAAAATTCACATTAACAATGAAATTACCTGAGAGCTGAAATGTATTAGATTTTCCTTTATATTAGAGGGAGAACAAGTCAAATTATTAAAAAATTCCAACAACATAATACTGTACACCTACATTATTTTCAAGAGCTGTTATTTTTATATTCCAGATACTGTACTTTTAATCCCTCTTTATATTGCTAACATTCACCAATTAAAGAAAAGTTTATAAATAATTTCTGATATGTTAGGCACACATTATGTAGTTTTATCAGTAAACAAACTGTATCATTTACCTGGGGGTCTCATGTGTCTTACCAGTACCTCAAAATAAAAATTATTTTACTATGTGTCAAAAAATGCATAAATCTCCTAACCTCGGTTTCACTCTTGAGGGCTGACCAGTGAGTGCGGAGGTCATTAACGGCAATGCGAATAGTGTTGGCTCTGGGGACGTCCACCATGTGTGTTGTGAGGGTGAGGGTGTCACCATGAGATATAACTGTGGCTACATCAGGCTCCAGCAATGCCACCTCCTGCTCTAAGGCCTATACAAAAGAAAAATATTAACCCCTTCACTACAGGGACACCACTTTAATATTTTATTTGGTTGAAGCTGGACAATTTTATGAGGGTTGCCCCCATACACAAGGGATTAAACATTGATTAAAAGAATCAAGTGATCTAGGTGATCTAATCAAATGACATAAAAATCTTTAGATGCAATGAATAAAATCCTTAAAAACAGGGATACAAACTGAAATATAGTAATTAAAAGAAGCCATTTCTTGTCTGATAAACGTTTTACTATTTTAAAGACTGCAGTCAACGTTATTACTTTTTCTTTGTAGCAATACTGTACTTGAGTTACTGATATTTACCAACAGCCTAGACTAATTTCACATACAAACAATGATGGTTTAACAAAATTTTAGCTGCAGGAAGAGCAAAGATCTAATGCATTTCAAGCAATAAACGTTGACAACAGATTATTCATTTTACCTCTGCCTTCGCCTTAGCGTCCTGATATGATGGCAGTGTCTGCACCTTTGTCTTTACTGAAGTTATCTTGTCTGCCATTACTGTCACTTCTCGAAGGTACGAATCAACTTCGTCATCACCAAGCTGTCAGACGATATTAATTTTTTCATGCTTTCAAATCTTTTCTTATTATTGACATTTATTTCATAAAAATAAAATCATTTAATAATGGAATTAGGATATTTTTCTTTGATAAACTAAACTGTACTACAATTTATGTTACAGGTATCCCTCGCTCAAATAATGTGTTGGGTTCCTTGAAAACCATACAAAAAGTTAATACTGTATTCAAATAACAATACATACAGGAAAAATAGGGTTCGGTTCCCAATGAGAAGAAAATCCCATTACAGTACTGCATTATATTCATTTTTTGCATAAAAATTAAATTGGTTAAAAAAATTAACCACTGCACTGTAAATATGTACCTAATTATTGTAATTTAGTACCTAACTACAAAAAGCCTAAAAATATTGAAACTAGCTTGTTTCCATTTATCATAGGCTTATGCAGTCTCTTGGTGATGGTGGTTATAGCCAAGGAAGCAGCACAACATTTGGATGTCATGCAAAAACATTCATGAGAGGATGGCACAAATATAAATTGATAGAGAGAGAGCAACACACTTTAACTAAACAAAAAGGAATATGGTACTGGCAGGCCAATATGTGGTCTGAAGGCTGAGGGATGACGATGATATACAGCCAACAAAAAAAAAAAAAACATTATACCTATTAAATTTAATTTGGTTCACAAACAATAACAAGCTAACATGGTCTCTTGGCAATAGCTGGTGTAATCAAGGAATCAACAAAATGCTTGGATGCCATTGCAAAAAGATTCACTTAAGGATGGCACAAAACACAGACAAAAAGAGATAACTGCACTTCCACTGTACACTAAGCAAATGGCTGCAAATCAACTCGGGGAGGGTGATGCTTCTGGCAGGTGCAATATGAATTTTCAGTCAAACCAACATTTGTATAAGCAAGAATAGCTTTTGTTTAATAAGAAAGAAGTGTAAGAATAGATAATTTATATCAGTGAATAATGGTATAGCAAGGGATACCTGTATATGAAACAAGTTTTGTATTTATAAAATTAACACATCCTAAAAAACTTAGAAAACTCCTGTAAAATCAAAGTACAGTAGAGATGTCCTAAGAACGACCTACTTCTAATAGGGTGACAGCTGGCTCTGGAAATCCAGTATAGCCAACAATGGACATGAAAAATTACAAGGGCAGGTCACTGTAGCTCCAAAAATTTAGCTCACAGTCTTTAGTAGTGAAATACCTCACAGACCCCTTTTAGAGGGCTAGGACTGAGACAGGAGAGTTGTAATAATTGCTTAAATTAGGGCCAAGAGACCATATTATGGATTGGGTTAGCCTGTGATACAACCTATAGCCTTGATAGATAAAATCACATCTAATTTCACCAAATACCTGCTTATAAATATCCTTATGAATAAAAAAGTTATGTTCTAAAAAAATAAATGTATAAAGATACTGTACTCAGGTATTCACACAGATATACAATCCCATACCATAATGTGTCTGAAATTTCTAAACAGGCAATGGGAATACCATCACTCATTAACACAGATACTATACCTGTCCTGCCTTCTGGGTTTCTTTTGAGGTTGTAGAAACAGTGGTTGTAGTAATACGGGATCTCTCTTGAGTGCTTTGTTTAATGTAACTTCTTGAAGCATATACCTTCTCTGATACCGAACCACCTGCCACTGATCCATCAGAGGATTGTTTCTTCTGTGGGTGACATGATTTTGTAAGTAAAACATGAAAGAAATACAAAAGTTTGTTATTAGCATATACTGTATATATCATGAGAAATTACTGTCATCAATCATTATAATCATTATAAAAAAAATTAATCTAGTTTAATTAATAGTTCAGTAGAAGTTAACTGTATTTTTAGGGTAAGGTAATTTACCATCACCATGAATCAATACAGTAATAAAATTAAAATAGTGTTAGCTTCATGCTATTCATTCCGGACTTACACACATACATCAGACACACTTTCATATGGTTAGTTACCTCCAATATGCTAAAATCAGTGGATGCACTGAAATCTGTAATGTATAGGAAAAGTCATGTTCTTCCAATTTCACAAAAGAAAATTAAATAAAACTCTGAAATCATGCATGTGTATATGTTAATACAGAATTAGCAAAAGCATTAATAGATACATTGCATCGTAGCATATATAAGCTTTGAAATTTTAAGCCATGCTATGCAAGTCAACAGTGTACTGATATGTATACTGAATTCTTCTGTTAGTATTTCCCATGTTTTTTGCTTCGGGCAGATACCACGTTTTCATCGTATGAACCTTGAACAAAATGTAACAATGCTGTGACCATTACCAATTCCCAAGCAGAGCACTGAAGTTCTTGATAAGACCTTGAGACTTGACGAGTCTTACCTCCGCCATTGTTTTAATAGCTTCCTCCTCCAAGGTTAGATCATCATCAGTAGTATCCTCATAGGGATATTCTTCTCCCTCAGTTTCACTAAAGATGACCTCTCCCTCACTTGCATCAGTGAGGACACTGATCGTGCTGAATCGTGAGGAGCGGTGTTCTGATCCAGGAGTTAAGTAACACTTGGTATCCCTCAGGGGAACTGATTTATCTTTACTTTCTAAGGATATGATCTCCTCAGCAGATTGTGTCGGTTGATCATTGGGAGAAGACCAACAATCTGCTGGAGTGTCTAATATTTCAGCTGAAGAGTGCAACACTTCCATTGATGTTGAAACATCATCTGACCCTAAAGATTCAACCATTTCTCCAGAGGCATCATAATAAGGACTAGAACTATTGGAGTTTGAAGCAGCAGAGGATAATGGACTCTCCTTTTCTGTCTCTTCTTTTGGTTCCCCACTCTTTGAAGCTGAGTAATCATCAATGACAACAAAACCTATGTCTTTCAACTCATACTGAGTGTAGGAAGGTACTTCCTTACCCAACTGGGACTGACCTCTATTTTTGTTTACCTCAATGTTTTCACAAACAGATTTATCTGGATCATACATACTCTTCATTACCTCTTTAATTTCAATTTTGCTACTTGTCTCAGCAGTTTTTGTGTCTATATCCACTGCATTATCACATACGACAGACACAGTCAAAGATTTCTTTGTTTCACTACAAGTACCACTTGTTTTAGGCATCCCAGACAAAACCTCATCTTTCTCTGTGTTAACTGTAGTATGTTTTTCTAAGTGTATTGAGGAAAGAGGCAAAAAAATTTTGTCTTTGCTTTCTGTAGCTTCAATTTTTTCACCAGAATCTGGTAATAAATTCACAAATATCTTTTCGGATGGTTTAATGTAAATATGATCCATTTCTTCATCAGATGCAGCAGAACTTTCATCTCTTGAGTCTCCATGATGGACATCAGGAATGGAAATTGTAACCTCTTGCTCTTCAATCACCTCAGTTGCTTCAATTACTTGAGCAACATCAACACTGACTCTTCTTTCCATTCTGGGGGTTTCTTCTACACTAGATTTTATTATTTTCACTTCAGTCCACCCATCTTCACCCTTAAAATTCACCCCAAGAACTGCATCACCTGCTCCTGCACTTCCTGTCACTGGCTCTTTCTTAATACTACTCTCCGCAGAGGTTTTACTTTCTACTTCTTTTCGTATAGTCTTTGGGAGCACATCTGCCTCTCTTAAGGTCTCTCTCTGATATCTTAAATCGGATTCTTTCTTCAAATCGCCTGCTTTGACTACTCTGCATCCAGGATGCTTATTAGTATTCTCTACAACTATGACATCACACTTAGCTGCTTCATCATCCTTAACATCATCTTGCATCATAACAACAAATGATGCTTCACAAGCACTCTTGCAAAAACCTCCATGAGCTGGAGAATGCCTATCAAGTCTTGCAGTTAAAACAGCACTTTCATGATCTACCTTCTTTATAGTAGTATCAACATTTTGCATTATAGGAGCTAAACCTGACTCTTTCTTTGCTCCAGAAATTTTTGGTATGCCTTCTGATAATTCCTTACCCTGTGACTTACCTTCTGGAATAGTGGTCTTGGTTATCAACTCCTCTGATACTGACCGCATTAATGATTCTTGAGCTTCCACACTTTTCAGAGTTTTAACACCAATTTGGCTGTCATCTTTAACTGATACTGTCTCAGAAATTTTCTTGGATAGACTGCCAATTGGCACATGAATAACTGTTTCTGCTTCTGACAATGTAGACACTGAACTATCAATGCTAACATGTCTCTCCAGCTTCACCTCCAAAGATACACTTGCTATATCTGGATCAAGTTGCTCCTCTACTCTATCAGGTTCATCTATTGTGTCCATTCCTTCATCAACCTCCATGTCATTCTCTGTTACACTATCTTTCTCTCCACTATCCATTTCTTCATAACTATCATGAGAAGATAACTGCTCTTCTAAATCAGCTTCTGGTTCATGCTCAACCATCTCAAAGCTGCTGCCAGATGAACTACTGCTAGACACAGAAATTTTTCTTGTGATTTCTCTAACCTCTGGCTCTTCATCCTCATCTCTCTTAGAATCCTTTTTGCTTACACCCTCTTTAACTCCCAGATTTTCTTTCTCAAAAATCTTCTCCATATTTTCATCTTCAGCTTTTTCAAGATATGGCACGGACTCACAAAGACCAGCTTTGCCTAGTGATTGGTTGTTATCTAAGCTGACAACTGAAGCTTGGGAGTATTTTGAGTCATCATTATCTTTGCATGTCACAGATTGTTCTCCCTCAACAACTTTGTACTCTTCACACTCGCCAGTTAATATTTCAGACATATTAGCTACTTCCAAAGTTTCTTCTCCAACTTCAACAGATACAAGATTGATAGTGATAGATGGACTTGCAGGACTTTCCATAGTTGTTTCAAAAACTTCCATTTCCTCTCGAATCCTAGTGCTGTACTGAGGTTCTACAGGTGAGTGGAGTTCTATCAATGGAATATCTGGTGATTTCTTAAGTTCTTGTTCTAATGTCATTAACTGATTTTCTCCTCCAGATTGGGCTGTTTCAGATATGTTCTCTTTCATCTTGTGTTCTTGAGAAACAGTAATGTCATAACTCTGATTTGAACATATTACCTGGTTAGGTGATTCTCTGATATCTTCTCGAGTCAAGCTAGTGCATATCATCTTGGTCATAGTCTGTACATCCTCCTCTTCTGGAAATTGTTTTGACACTACTTCTACAACCGTCTCTCCTAATTCTTCCATTGGTGATTCACATGCAGTGTTTCTCTCATCAGCTGTCTTGAGTGACACATTAGATTCATCTTTACACTGAGTTACAATTACTGACTCAGGAATTACTTCATTTATTTCTTGATTTGGAAACTGATCAGCAGAATAAATATCAGTTACTTCTTCAATCTCAATCTTGTTCATTTCAATTTGTTTAGTTTCTAATGATGGGTGTTCACCTAAAATTGCTGCACAAGGTTTTGCAGTTTCTGTTGATGATAATTTATGGTCAAGTATCAGAGTATAAGTCTCTGTCTTACCATCAGCTCCTTGTTCTTCTTTCGTCACTATATGCTGGACAACTGTGGAATCTGTCACATCAGTTTCACTAGACCCAACAAAACTGTCCTCTTGGTTAACTCTTTTTTCACTGACCTTCTCTCCAGAGCCTTCCAGAGCATTAATAACAGCATGTTCATATATGGTGGCTGCAGATATTCTTACATTTGAAGGTTCCTCTAAATCATCACTTTCATCTGAAGATGAGGAGTCTATTTCAGTAACTTCAATCATTGCATCTACTTCATGACTTTCCATTTCTATCTCTCTAGCAAAGACTTCTTCGTTGTCCATTTCAATGCTACTGGAACTTAAAAAGCTGAAACGCAGCATCTCGTGCTCTTGAACTTTATTCAGCATCTCATGCGCTTGAACTTTTTCCAATGATTCTTTCTGAGCTTGTTGATCATCTGCAACAGGGTGTTGTACACTTAAATCTTGAGGTATAGGGGCATCATCCCAATCTCCTGAAATGGCACCACGAGTTTCAGATCCAAAATCAATGGAGCCTTCCGAAGAGGACCCTCTGTTGCTTCTTGATCTACTCGAAGAGCTACTGGATTCCCAAGTTTTTCCCTCAACTGTATCAGTGGTCAGCCCTTTTCTGCGTAATGCCTTTCCCAAGCTATCTGCTGTTACAATTGAAGTACTCTTTAATGCCCTTTTCTTGGACTTAGGATTACGAGAAACCTCTTCAGGCAATGACTCCTCTCCAGCTTGTACATCCTGCATTAAAGGTTGTTCTGTTTTCTTTATTTCATTGAGCATTTCACAGTCAGTTTCCTCATAAAGCTTAGCAAATCTTTTCCTTTTTTTCATTCCAATGTCAATATCAGGTGAACCACTACCAAGCTCGGCTTCCTCTCCCATCTCCCTCACACTCACATCTTCAGTCTCTAGTCTACGCATATCCTCAAAGCTTTCATGGTTACTAGCTTCAGTGTCTGACAACTCAGGGCCTATCTCAAAGCTAGATGTGTCATCATCTTCACTTTGGGAAACATTGCTCAATGTGTCTTCAAAATCTTCAGATTTGACCTGCAAACATGTACAATATAGATAATTCATACTGCCTGAAGTTAAGAATGCAGCAGATGAGTGTGACTGTACAGTCTTGACAAATAAAAGCTAATACAACTGTACCCAAAAGCAAGGTAAGCGTAAAAGTTAGGAGAATTAAAACAAGCTACTCCAGAAGCTTTTTCCAAAAAATTTCAAGGATAAAGATACATTACAAAGTAAAGTAGCTCATTATCCTAAGTTAAGAAAATTCTAGCAAAGTAAAGTTTCTAGGAAATCATATTTTCTATACAGCATGATCAACAAATTATTAATTGATTGTCAAATTAGCTTTCCGACAAGTTCCTAAATATAGTTCTCTACATTGCATCACAATACATGATTGCTCTGGGTGTTTGACTGATATAACTTATATTATTAAAGAACTCAAAAAGTGGTTTCAGAATACAATTGTCAATCATTTAAAAGGTTTAAAGCTTTTTTAATAGTACAGTGTTTTTCATTAGATTTGTCTTATTGCAGCAAAAGATGTTATTATAAGCTTTATGCATTCAAATATATCAAAACTTAGTGAAGTTTATATAATACAACTCTAAATTAATTTTTTATAACCATACAATATCACTGTTCAATCTTACATGGTTGTGTTAGTTGGTAATTTTCAGAATACAATTTTTTTACATGATATGCATTACCATGTAAGGCATCAGGTTATGCTCAGATATCCAGTACGAAAAAATCTACAAAATTTGCAGAAGACCTATTGGCAAGATGTTTTCTACAGTGACTGACCCTCGACTCTATGTCCCCTAAAAAATAAAACTTTCACAACCTAGAATGAAATGATGATGCCTGACAAGTTTCAAACTGATCCACCCAAAATTGCAAGAGCAGTTGCACTGAAATTTTTGTGATAAAACACAGAGCAAACCCACACACAACAAGGGTGATGACAATACACCTTAGCCAACACTGGCATACAGTACATTGAATTCCATCCCACTCCTAGCAGGAAGACCCAATAAAATTCTCATGTGAGCAAAATATGATCTGTTCTAGAATTTACAGGTGCCTGAGATAAGTGTATGTTGCCTTAGAAGAAATAGGTACAGGTATTACATACTATGGACAGGAACTATATATTGTACTGTATATCTAAATTTAATGATATGAAAAAAGTTGCTAATAGAAATACACCAATAAGTTGTGATTTCTGATTTCATGTGGTATACTGTATAGCAAGGGAGTGTACTGCCCTCAATACTTTTTATTATATTTATGGAATCTGTTACTGAAACACTGGTTACTCGAGTCTTTCTCAGACAAACACATGATGTCTGTAAAGTCATGATGAATCTCACAAACCTCCAAAATGCAGTGCATAGGTGGGATGATGCACTACAAAATCATGAAATGAGAATGATTTTCTCCAAATCAAAACTAATGGTAATCAGAAGACATAAAAAATGCGAGACAAATATGGATACTGAAGATAAAGGCTAAATACCGTCCATTTACCCATTTGCTGCAGTAAGCATAACAACTACCTCCCACTTTATGTGGCAGATTTTTATGAAATTAAAAATAAATCATATTTTGACTACCATAAACAAGTAAGTGAAATAGTTTTTCCTGATCACAAAAAAATATACATCTTGTTAGGAATAAATTTTGTATACAATACTGTACACTACAATGCAGTTCACAACAGTGCTATAAAACATTCAAGATTTTTTTCTTCCTAAGCTTTTACCTTTTTAATGAAGGTTAACCAAAAGAGAGCACTCATGCACGCACAGAAGTTTTCTCTGAATTTCCAGAAAATGCGCCTGATTTTCAACCTTTGAATTTGCTCCCAGACCCGGGAAAAAAAATTGAGAGATTTTCTGGAATTCTCTCTAAAATGTGCCTGATGTTTAACCTCGGAAACTAATTCACAGACTCGGAATGGCAAGAAATTTCCCAGAAAAATTCCGAACCAATTTCATTTCTGGGTATCGGATAGTACCGGCTAATGGATATATTACTGAATTTCCTTACAGTAAAAACAATCATTACAGGCAGATTGGAGTAGTGTCACTAATGAATGGAATGATTAAGCATTACAAACTGAAGAATCATAACCTAAACGCCAACAAGTTACTTATATATAGTTATTAACAGAAGTAAAATGGATTGCATTAAGGGACACATGAGAGAGAGAGAGAAAATTAAGTTAAACACTAGCTGCATAAATATGAGACAAGTGGCAAAGTGGATAAGGCTTATAACTAAGGTGAAGCTTACAATGGGCAACAGTGCATTCACTTCTTTGTTCTGTACCATTAGTAGAAGGTAGTAGGCAGCTATCAAACAGGGAGGTACTACTGCCTGGGAAGATATTGGAAGCATAATGTGTTGTCTAATGGTGGACCCTGCTGCCATATGGCATCACGAAAATTGTGACCAAGTCCCAGGTTGCTGATCTGACTTTCTGCCTTATTAACACAATTGCAGGGTCTCAATTGTTTCTCTTTCTTCCACAACACAGCATACAAATATTGTTTTTCACTATTGATCTTATTTTTCTTAATTTTGCATTTATTTATGGTTCTTTATTATTATTATTATTATTATTATTATTATTATTATTATTATTATTATTATTATTATACTATTATTATTTTGTTATTGTTGTTATTATTTTATTATTATTTTGTTTTTGCTGTTGTTATTATTATTATTATTATTATTATTATTATTATTATTATTATTATTATTATTATTATTATTATTATATCTTTGCCCCCAGGCCCTGATTTGAGCCACTGACCTGTGCCCGGTGGGCTAATCCCATAATAAAAAAAATAAAATAAATGAAAAAAAAAACACTTCTTTCTATCCATGACTCAATTCTTCTCCTAGTTTCTATTTTGTGGTTCAAGACTTACAAAAACATCAAAGAAATGGAAGGAATAACAGGAAAGAGTAATACTACAAGTGTAGAAAATGGAATAAAAGGTTAAGACAACAAGCGGAAATACACTAACCATACTTGCTCATAACATCATCTTGCACACAAAGCATATAGTGATTCCCAACAATTCACAACAATAATCGAATTAGTCATGTAATCTAAATTTTCAAAAGCTTCCTTATCCTCTGATTACTCAACCATTTTTCCAGGAAAAATTCCCTCAACCATTTACTTTTCTCAAGACAAACCTCCTATTTCTACAAATCAAAATTGTTGTTAACTATACCATGCAGTTTCACAAGTTGCCTTGAATTCTCAAGTATTTTACTTGAAAATTGCTATGTATCTCGATAAATGATATGACCCTAATGATAAATATCAATAGCAGTTTAAAACACTTTCATTTTACTTCAGAAAACATGTCACATCACATGTACAACATATAAATCTGACATATGCAGTACATGTACAGTACACACTTCCTTCCAGATACCTTAAAATTAATTAAGGTACATTAATTTACAAATAAAAATACCTTTCTATCCAAATATAACTACAGTAATGTATTACTAAGAAGTTTTATAAATGCAGTCTATCAGTATGTATAAATTTTCAAATGTATTCACTCCATGCAAGATAATTAGAAAATGTATCACTAAAAAAACACTGATCCATCCATGCCCTCTAGATGTAATAAAGGATCAATATAATTAATCCTTTGACACATGAACTCTTTTATATTAAAGTGGCAATTATATACTATAGTTAATACAGCATATAATTGATGTATTGCTATATGGAGGTATTTCTTTATATCCAGTTATAAAATACCTGGCAAGAAAGTAAAATATGGCACACTTGATATACAAAAAGAATTTATCTAACACTGGTCCAAAATATGAACCATGTTACTCATTTCCCTGCAAACTTCATCAAATGTCTATGATGGCAGTGAATGGATCTCAATTACTGAACAAATTTATCAGCACGGTCATGAAAATATATGAACACCATGCAGCACTCTCCTTGTGGTAATGAATAGGAATGTACTTACAAGGTTCTTTGAGATATCTGAAGAGCTTGCTACCACAGCATCAAGTTTAGAGGTGGAGGGGGAAGTTATGATGACTGAAGGGACGGCATGAGGCTTAACATTTATTTCCTCACATTTAAAATTTTCAAGATCTGCAGGAGAGTGAGGCACATAGTGGATCTCTTTTGGCCGGGCACCTAAACCTGATTTGGGGACATCACTAGTAACAAAAGGTGTATAATGAATTTCAAACGATTCCTTATTCTGCTTGTTGAGTACATAAGATTCTTTCTTAGTGCCAGTGACTGTACCCATGTTTTCTGTAGCTGGAACATGTATTTGTGCTTCAATGGTGCCCTTTGCTTTCTGGCAGGCTGGTTTACTGAGAATGCTTTCCTCAATACTAACATTTTTTTCTTCACTGTGGGATGTGCTAATACCCTCTGACCTTGATTCCTTCTCAGGGATTTCTTTCTTTAGTGAAGCCTTTTGGGGTACATGAGGAACATATTGAACCTTGGTGTCTTTTACTTTCTTACTCTGAATTTCCATCTTTTTAGGAGGTGCATTTACATCTTTTTCATCCTCATCAGATGTAATGTCAGTCTCTTTTATCGAACTAAAATCTCTTTCTTTGAATGTCAGCTTTTCCTCAGTCTTATCTTGTGGCTGTGATAAAGCAGGAGTTGCCAAAGACATAACTATGGGGACTGGTACATGAGGCACATATTCAATTTTACTTTTCTTATCCCTTTGTTTTGTAATACTGCTTTCTTTCTTTGTCAATTCCATTTCAATAATCTTCTTGGATTGTGTGTCCACTATAATGACAGACTTATCCTCTTTTCTAATGGTTTCCTTTGATTTCTCTTCTTTTCCAGTAACTTTTCCATCATCAGGATAAACTGGAGTCGTGAATGTGCTTTGCTCTTCCCCTGAAAGATCGTCTCCAAGAAGCTCTGATAAATTTTCTTCAGGGATTTTCTTCAGTATACTTGATGGTGCATGAGGTACATACTGTATTTTTGT